CAAGAGAGAACTGCTAGAATGCCAACGACCGATTCCAGTCCTTGCGTTGCAATCAAAGGTATTCTGTGACCTCTTCCGACACCCAACTTCGCCAGATGCCGCGAAAGGGCCTGGGCATGAGAGGCGAGGCTCTGGTACGTAATCTTTCTACCTTTTTTATTGCTTGACAGATCCCACACTGCGATTGCAGATGAACGCAGGAGCCTGGAATAGGCATAAAATGCCGAGGTCACGGTGGTAAAGGGGGCCGATTTGGTTTCCAATCCGCAACTGACGGCAAACTGGCGTCCGTTCTGGAGATTTACATCTGACATGCCGGCAAAAGAATGCGGGCGGTCTCCTTCCAGGCTAGATTTAGCCTGCCTGGCAAACCTCTCTAACGCCTTCATGAGCAAACGAGAGAAGACTGAATCTGTACCCTTATAGCCGGGTGAATGAAGAGTGAACAAGCCGTACGTGTCTTCACGTGCATTCGTGTTCCGACAATGCCATGGTTATATACACAGCTGGCCACTCAGGGCACCATGGTAGGTCGAAACGCACTAAGCGTGATTTAAAGGAGACAATAAGGTTTTGTGCTACGGAGATACAGCGTGATATGTAGATGCATGCAACAACGAACTTTGTATACGTCGTGGGAGTGCAACGGTAACCGAGTCAGCCTTTCTATCTTCGGACGTACGTCACGCATCCCGAGTTTCGTCCGCCTCCTCTTTATATCGACCCCAAGGGGGCGTGTGTAGATGTAGATGCACCGAGGCTATTGGCTCTTGGAATCGGTGTCGTGGATGTGTGTTCGGGTACCGACACGGGCCAGGAGCTCAGAAACTGACGTCCTGGTTAAAAATTCTCTGTCCTCTTGTACAGCGTAATTGATTTGACAAGCCAGTAGGCATTGACGAAGGCACCAGGGCTATGAGCCACATATTACACACATGGGAGCCTGATACATACCGAGCACGTTGCATTGGAATCCCACACGGAAGGGTTACCAGTCCAGTCACCACAGAAAGTAGTGTCAAACATAATGTTGTTGTCACGAAAATATGAGTCTATATTGCTGCCGTTCCCTCCGGCAAAACGCGCAAGCGGCACGCCCCAAGCTGCGGGATTTGGGCTACCAGACGTTGTGCCTTCGGGGATTCCGTGACCAGAGAAAAGCCAGGCCGATATGCCGTCAGAAGCCCACTCCATTGCGTAAACGCCGCCGTCAATGCTGCTAAACGCGTCTCCGAAGTATTGACCCGCCCGTGTCTCCATGCCGCAACCATCTCCAACGACACTGCAATCTTGACGGCTGATGTGTGGATAATAACCCTCGCCTGACATCGTAATGTAACAGCCTGGGGATGTGTGGAGAGTGATTGAATTGGCTTTTGACCGTTGACCCCTTCTATGATGTCCATCTCGCCGTTGGCTTTCGACCGTTGACCCCTTCTATGATGTCGATCTCGCCAGAGGGTGGCCATTTAGGTCCAAACATCCAGAACGCTGGCCACACTCCACAGGCTCCACTGGTCATATGAGAGATGTCGGCAACAA